TAATAAAAATGGGGTTTCTCTAGTTTTGCAAGACTGGAAACTTACCAACTGATACTTCGACTACTTAACTAAAAACTAGATAAGCAAAGATTTAACTAAATTCAATAACGAAGGGAACTTCTGTTTAGTTCAACTCAATTGATCCTATAGTTAACATTATGGTAATAGTGCAATGAATTAATTCTTCTATTGGCTACCGATTCAAGTGATTAGATTCACGTTCGCTGCACTAATCCTTAGAGAACAAACTAACTCAAACAGTGGCCAGTTGTCTAATTTAATTCAATTCACTAGGTTATTTATTTGGGTTAATTTAGACTTGTAATCGTTAACTAATTTGGTCCTTTAGTTAACCTCTTGTTGATGGTCATCACACAAGCTCACACATGATTTTACCTATTTTTCTATTAATTCTAGTTTCACAGTCGTTAAACCTAGTCATATAACAAAGTGGTGAAATAAATTATATGAGGTAGTAATTAAGAGATGTTCATACAGCTTAATTAACTTCCTAATAATAGAAAAATAGTTTTCAATCACACATAAGGTTCTTTAACAAGCTAAAATCAACAAAATCACCAATATTAAATCAATCCTACCATAAAATCAAACCATAATCACAAAATCATCTATCCTAAACAGAAGTTATGAGTTTTAGCTCATGATTACAACAGAAACAAGCTCAAAAACAAAATCAATTTGTAAAAACATAGTTCAAAAAAGAGATTAGGTAAGAGTAAACTTGATTTTGACTTGATTCTCCTTAAAATTGAATGTAGGGTTGATTCCTTAGCTTCACACGCTCCAGCAACACCTTTAGTCGACAATTGGCCTCCAAGGGTTCATCTATCTCCTCTGGTATCAATCTAAAAGTCCCTTTATATAGATTTCACAAAACAGGGGCTACTCAGCGAGTCCAGTGACCTACTCGGCGAGTCCATCACTTAAAACCCAGCAAGTCAGCATGTCCAAAATCGCAAAAGTTCTAACCAACTCGTCGAGTTGATGGCCTACTCGGTGATTCCGTTTGGAATCAGCATTTTCTCAAAACACAAAAGTCGTCCGAAATTGTGTCTAGTTTTCAGAACATTTTGAATCTTGTCAATCAAAGTTACGGTTTATGACATATTTCCAAAACACTGACGAGGGATCAAACTATCCAGCAACATCCTTCTTCTTCAAAATACAAGATCCAAGCTTCCAATCGCTAGTTCCGCTTCCTTTTCCATCCGAGCATGTCATTGTTGCTGAAAAATGAAATTATAAACTAATTAAGCACCTTTTCCTCATTAAATGAGACAAAAACAACATAAAGTATTAAGATAATGCATGAATTTTATAACTAAATATTCCCATATCACTCGACGAGTTGGTTAGGGTTTTTCCCGATATTCTGGATGTTGCATGGACTCGACGAGTTACTTGGTAACTCGGAAATTTAAGAGGGGTTTTCGCGACTTTCTGAGTTATAAAGGAGCTCGATGAGTCTGTAAACTGCACTCGACGAGTTGGGTCAACATTAACTATTGAGCTTGGCTGTTGACTTTGAATTTGACCAAGGGTTGACCAAGTTTGACTTCTGAGGTAATTTGGGAATTTAAAGAATTAGATCAACGGTGGTTGTAGGTATTTGAGTTGGATTCATGCTTCGGGAGTTTGATCTTTTTCAGTTCAGTACAGTTTGACATTGTAAGGTGAGTCTTCCTCACTATACTCAAGGCTCGATAGCACCAAGGTCGGCCCTTTGAATTGTTATCCTGCTTTATTGTTAGTGTGATCTGTTAGATCAGTATCCTGGTAAATAGGATGGTTTTATGTGGTTATGATCAGTTAGATTGGTATCCTGGTAGATAGGATGTACTATGCTTAGTGATATGTAGATCGGTTTGTCTGTCTGTAGACTGTTATGTGATGATCTGATATATGTGCACATGATTGATTGTCGGTTAAGGATTATATGCTTTGTGCAAGAGCCAACAGACCAGCGCATTCCAACCGGATGGTTGTAGGTCGAGAGTATTCCATCCCGAGGATGATTGGACTCATAGTATGTGGGTATTCCAACCCGATGGTTGTTGGCCAAGGGTATATCATCCCAAGGATGATTGGACCCATAGTATCTTGGTATTCCAACCCGATGGTTGAGGGCCTCGAGCATTCCAACCCGATGGTTGATTGGGCCCATAATATGTTGTTATTATATGTGTGTTATTTGATGTACATATATTTTAGGGGAACCCAGTAAGCTTCGGGCTTACAATTTTGGATTTTGCTCCAGGTACTTCGGATGATCGCGGGAAGGCGAAGGCTTGATCGTGCATCGTCTCACATTTTATGATTTGGTTTCTGGGATACTTTGATATGAGACTATTTCGAAAACAATTTATAATAAGTAATGGTTTTTGAATATTTGAAAAAGTTTTAAATTTTCATTAATTTTATGGATGTTACATTGGTCAAGGCGACCCTTTATCCCCATTCTTTTTTATACTTGCAATGGAAGGGTTGAATGTATCTATCAAAAATGCTTGTGAAGTATCACTATTTCGTTGTATTAATCTACCAAACAATGGACCCACCATTTCATAATTATTATACGCAGATGACGCCATTTTTGTGGATGAATGGAACTGTGAAATCATTAAGAACATATCCCAGATTCTTAAGTGCTTCCACATCTCTTCAGGCTTAAAAGTCAACTTTTTTTCAAATCTTGTCTCTTCAGGATTGGTACCTCAGATCAAAATGTCCTGCGTATGGCTCACATTTTAGGCTGTATCAAAGGCTCATTTCCTTTCACTCATCTCATAGTCCCTGTGGGTGCAAACATGCCTCTAAAAAGAACTGAAAACCCATCATTGATAAATTTTGATCCAAACTGTTAGAGTGGAAAGCCAAATCTCTGTTATTTGGTGGTAGATTACCACTAATAAGTTCATCCTGGGTAGTTTACCAACCTACTATATGTCCCTCTTGAAAGCTCCACAAGGCATTATCGATACTCTAGAAAAGATCAGGCGAAAATTCTTATGGGGTGGTGGTGATCTCAAGTTGAAAATACATTGGGTGGACTGGACGAAAGAAATTGCTTCCAAGAAAAAAGGGGGTTTAGGAGTTGCAATGTTAAAGGCTCAAAACACAGCTATGTTAATCAAATGATGGTGGCGATTACCAAACGAAGGCAACAACATTTGGAAAGGGGCGATCATGACCATTCATAATCTTTGCAGGAAACCTGCGTTTTACATTGTCAGGAAAACTTCAATTGAAGTGTGGAGTAATATCTCAAAGGCTATTTTTGGTCTTTCAGGTCATAATATTGACAAAGACTCACTATTCACCCTTATTCTTGGTTATAAGACCCATATCCTATATTGGAAGGATTCTTGGTGTGGTTACTCCTTTCAATCTAGATTTCCTTTGCTCTATAGCATGGAATAAGTAAATTGTTGTTACTTGGAAAAACGTCTTTCGGTGGATGGTTTCTCGTGGAATTGGAAACAGGATCGTAACGGGGCGGATGCGCTTAATGAGTTACTTCAGTTGTACAAGAGCATTGGTGACATGGTGCCAAATACCACTGGGTTGTTTAGGTTTCACTTTAACCTTAATCTAGATGGAAGGTCCGCAGTCAACACTATGAGGCGCCTCATTGACTCTAAACTTATACAGTACATGTTGGTCAAAACTTATTCCCTCAAAGTCCGTTGTTTTGTTTGGATAACAACAATGAGCAGGATTCCAGTTGCTCAATCCTTAGAGGTAAGGGGTTGATGGTCTCTAATCCACTTTTTCCTCTATGCAACAAAGAATTAGAATCAGTGGACCATATTCTCGATAGATGTGATTTTACACATGTGGTTCGTGAGTGGATCTTCAAATGGATTGGATTTCACAATCAAAGTTTCTCCAATGTGTCTGAGTTTTTTGTCCATTTGGCCATCTGGGCAATCATCCAAGGAAAAAGTCTATCATCTATTCCATATTTTACTATTTACTGTGGAACATTTGGGTGGCAAGAAACGATGTAATATTCAAACACTTGAAGGGATCTCCTACAATAGTTGCGGATAACATTATCTCACAATCCTATTTATGGTGTACGTATAAGGGAAATCACAGTGTTAGCTAGTCAGATTAGAGTTATTCAACCATTCTCATACATCAAATTTTGATTATATTCTGTTATTGTCTTTTCCCTTCACGATTGTACATTTGCATGTGTCTTTAACTTCTTCCTAATTGTGAAGCAAATGAAAGAAGAAAACATTGAAGTGATGAGGGTAATTGGTTGTAGATGATTATATAAACAATATCCAAGGATATAATGATGGAATATGGTAGTTCGATGGGGGTTCATTAGGATGAAACGTTATTGAGTATGGATGAATTAATGATGTACGGAAAGACGGATACATGAAGACTGGAAATACTCATTGTGTGAGGGGTAAGTGGTGCATTTAACAAAATTATGATAACAAACTTTAACGCATAGACTAGTGCTATAATTTCCCCAAACCATGGGATGGTTTATATTAAATTTTCAAAAGTTGGACGAAACATGCGATTTTACCAAATTTTAAGGACCAGTTATGTATTTCCCTCTTCAAATTATATATTAAATTTTGATGGTGATATTACTCTTTTGTTTATTTTTATTTCTGTATCGTTGCATATATGGTAATTGATAGGTCGGAGTCGTAGAACTTTATAAATTAAATTAATTCTAAAACAAAAATCTAACAATTTATAAACGTTAAAGATGATGAAAGTAAAATGACCATAACGTCTTTCACGTGTAATACAAATATTGAAACGAGTTAACAGCATTCATTTCAGAAACCAAGAACAACTATTAAAGAAAAATAATCATAGTCCTTAAGAATAAATTTGTATATATTATTTACTTAAAGGCAAAAAAATCATGAGTATGACCAATAAAGTCAACTCATTTATGCTATACTCATAATAATGCGTTCAACTCATGATTATATATAAGCCACAAATGATAATTAAAAGCTACATCCCTACCCTTTTTTCTTGCCTTCTTTCAACCCATGGGCACCGTTGATGACCGGAAAACATATTCACCCACAGACATCGCCGGCGATGACGATGACGTCTCTCCCATTGAAGAAGTCCGGCTGACTGTAACAAACACCGACGACCCGACACTTCCGGTATGGACATTCAGGATCTGGTTCTTGGGCTTGATCTCATGTGCCCTATTGTCTTTCTTTAACCAGTTCTTTTCTTTCCGAACTGAACCACTAGTCATCACCCAAATTACAGTCCAAGTCGCCACCCTACCCATTGGTCACTTCATGGCGGCGGTTCTGCCGGAGACCAAGTTCCGGCTGCCTGGTTTTGGAGCCAAGTCGTTCTCCTTCAACCCGGGTCCTTTTAACATGAAGGAGCATGTTCTTATTTCCATCTTTGCTAATGCCGGAAGTGCTTTTGGAAACGGATCACCTTATGCTGTCGGCATTGTCACGATTATCAAAGCTTTTTATCACCGGAATATTTCTTTTTTGGCCGGCTGGCTGCTAATCATTACTACACAGGTAAAGCATACTAAGTATAACTGTAACCAAACTATATTTACAAATTCTCCGGTGAACTTTAATAGTGATTTTCCGGCGAGTTTAGTAATTTGATGGTGGTTGAGCAGGTATTAGGGTATGGATGGGCCGGATTGTTGAGGAAATACGTGGTGGAGCCGGCTCATATGTGGTGGCCGGGGACTCTTGTTCAGGTCTCCCTTTTCCGGTATGGCATGCATTTAATTTATTGCCTTCCAAATTTAATTAAATTTATATTTGTCTTGAATACAAATAACTGTTACATTCCTTTTGGTCAAGTACGTTTGACGAACGAGATTCTACATTCATACAGAAAAGATATTTATCGTTTTTAAAAAGTCTTTGATTGAACAATTACCATCTTTGATTATATATGAAAGTGATTAATTATTGAGGGTGACCGAATTAAATGTTTTATTTATTTTGTATTTTAATCTTCTAGAAATTTAAAAACATTTTATTCATTTTTGTAATTGATCTATTGTATATTTTTTAGCAGAATTCCAATAAAATTATCCTTTTGCTGTTCATAAAAAAATCTATGTTATGTGATTATTCTTTTAGTTTGGATGTTGGTCGCTCTCAATAATTATTCACTTTATAAAAGATGTTAATTTGATCAATCAGTGGCTTTTTTTTATAAATGGTATCAAGTTATTAAATATGTTTTTAACCATTTAATGTCACAAATTTATCATATTCTACAATTTATGTAAATACTAAACATAGAAATATATAAATTAATTATGGTAAATTTGTTATATTAATGATTAAAATATTAAATAAAATGGTAAAAGATTAATTTAGTTTGTTGTAAATTGATAAAAAGGAAGGTTGAAAAGTTAATATAATACTAAAAGTATCTATATATATTTTTATTTATTTAGTTGACTTGTTCAACGATATGGTTATATGTTATTCAGAACAAATATTTAAAGCACCGTATGAATGCTAAAATTTTATATATATTGATGCACTTAGAAACTATTTTATAAAGGATAATTATCAACAAGTTCAAAAGATATATACTAGACATATACTCTAAATACATTATCTTTGTAACACATCCCTTTGTCAAATCAATTTTATGTGCACTTAATTATGATATAAAGTGGTGCATAAAGCTTTGGTTGATCGAACCAATAAACCTGAAAAAGACCAAATTAATAAGAAAAAAAGGCACTATTTTAAAACGGATAAATTCTAAACTAAAGTAAAACTAATACCAAACCGGTTTAGATTTGCTTGGTTCATAACATATTCATGTTTCAAGTTATATGGATATTCAATTGCAGTTAAGTTACATATAATTATTCTTTAATTTTCTTCATTCTCATGCAGTCCAAAAAAATGGTTTTGATTGTAAATTGAGTTGTATACAAAGAAGTCAAATACAGCTATCGTTTTTTGCCACTTGACCCATAAGTCATCAATGATGTAACCCTTAAGTCATCGATGATGGCTAAATCGATTGACTAGAGATTCTCCACTCTCTGTCATGCATATCCACTATCCGATTATATTTTCATATAATATATAATATTCAAGATTCAAAAGAATTATAGATCCTAATATGCTAAAACACTAAGCATATACGTGACGTTATGCTTTTATATATAATTATTATATATATATATCTGGACTAATTACTAAACAAAACTTTATTTAATATATAAAGAAAACTATCTTACTTGGCAAACTGAACTTTGTAATATAATTTTTTTTTTGTGGAGTTCCTTTTTTTACAACATATACTTTTCACTTTATTTGTAAGCTTTTTTATTATTATAATAATATTTTATTTTTTGTCAGAAAACAAATATTACTATATTAACTACTACATATGTTGATATATAAGTTTTCGATTAGTTATGTGTGTGTAATTTGACACAACAAAAATAATAATAACTATTATAATGAAGAACAAAAAGCTCTTTAATTCCTATTGATGCTCTAATCAAGAACCTGTGAAATTACAATATCTGATTCATATATATTCGTTTCGCAGGGCTTTGCATGAAAAGGACGACCAACGCATGACACGTGCAAAGTTCTTCCTAATCGCTCTAATTTGCAGCTTTTCATGGTACTTAATCCCGGGATACTTCTTTTCAACTCTCTCAAGCATCTCATGGGTTTGCTGGGCGTTTTCCGATTCAGTCACCGCTCAACAACTAGGATCCGGCATGCGAGGTCTTGGTGTCGGAGCGATAACCCTTGATTGGTCTGTTGCAGCGTCTTTCTTGTTCAGCCCTCTAATCAGCCCCTTCTTTGCCATCGTCAATGTCCTTCTGGGATATGCACTGATAATCTATGTCGTTATGCCATTGTCTTACTGGGGTGTCGACCTTTATGGTGCTCGTAGATTCCCTATATTCTCCTCACACTTGTTTACATCCGAGGGTCAAAAGTATAACATATCCGCCATTGTTAATGATAAGTTTGAGATTGACATGGCGAAGTATGAAGAACAAGGAAGGATTCATATGAGCACGTTTTTTGCTCTCACTTATGGTTTTGGATTTGCATCCATTGCATCCACTCTAACACACGTGGCCTTCTTTTATGGAAGGTGACAAATAGTTTCGATTTCTTGATCATTAAAAGTAGTAAATATCGTGTATAACATGTGTAATCGTGTATGTTTTGTAATCATAAACTTTCAGGGAAATATACGATAGGTTTCGAGCTTCATACAAGGAGAAAGAAGATATACACACTCGACTCATGAAGAGATACAAGGACATACCAAACTGGTGGTTCCATTTGTTGCTAGTAGTAACACTAGTAGTCTCTCTTCTACTTTGCACTGTTTTAAACGATCAAGTTCAGATGCCATGGTGGGGACTCATCTTTGCGTCTGTAATCGCCTTCATTTTCACCCTCCCAATAAGCATCATAACTGCCACCACAAATCAGGTTAACATCTTTTTGTATACATACGATTCATTTTCCATCTTAAAAACATATAAAAAATGTAACATTTTGTTATATATTAACATAGACACCAGGGTTAAACATCATAACGGAGTACATTATGGGAGTTATATTGCCGGGAAGACCGATAGCCAATGTATGCTTCAAGGTTTATGGTTATATGAGTATGACACAAGCTATTTCATTTCTAAGTGATTTCAAGCTTGGACATTACATGAAGATTCCTCCTAGATCAATGTTTTTGGTTCAGGTAATGCATGCATGTTGATATAATACAAAAGTTCGATGTTTTTTAGTTAAAAACTAACCTAGTTCTTGTTGAACATTATAGTTTATAGGAACTATTTTTGCGGGAACTATAAACCTTGTTGTGGCAGTGTGGTTGCTAGACTCGATAGAAAATATTTGCCAAGATGAACTTCTTCCATTGGATAGTCCATGGACATGTCCAGGAGATAGAGTATTTTTTGATGCATCAGTGATATGGGGATTAGTGGGGCCTAAACGTATCTTTGGGACTCTTGGAAATTACAGTTCGATGAACTGGTTCTTTCTCGGAGGTGCATTAGGACCCATCATTATTTGGTTGTTTTACAAGGCGTTTCCTAAACAGACTTGGCTTCCGTTGGTAAACCTGCCGGTGATTTTAGGAGCAACAGGTGCCATGCCACCGGCGACACCAGTAAACTTCAATTCATGGATTCTAATCGGGATTGTTTTCAACTATTTTGTTTTCCGGTACCGGAAAAAATGGTGGCAGAGGTATAATTATATTCTCTCGGCTGCACTGGATGCCGGTGTGGCTTTCATGGCGGTGTTGCTTTATTTCTCGGTGGGACTTGAAGAGAAAGGAGTGAGTTGGTGGGGTACTGCAGGTGAACACTGTGAATTAGCGACTTGTCCAACAGCGAAAGGGATTAATGTACAAGGGTGTCCAGTTAATTAACCGATGGTGTTCGCGGGAATACCGGAAACATTTATACCATATTAATAGTTTGCTGTTAATCCATAGATATGATGGAATGTAAAGAATTCAGAAGGTTAGGCACTTAGGCATCATGGGGATACAGGGTATCATGATTTATTTGTTGGGTTATGAATGTTAAGTTTTATAAAAGCGTGAATTTATCATCTTATAATGCAATTTAGAGGAGTTATTGTTTTAGGGATGTTCGATAGAATTTGAATTTTTAAAATCTTAATGGTTTGAATTTTTAATAGTTATTTGGTTAGAATTTCTGAATTGTTATGTTAAATCATAAAAATGACCATTTTATTAAACCTTAATGTATGATTTTTTTTATTGAATTAAATGTTTATGTTTTAAAAAAATTAATAGAAAATTTTCTTTAATATTATAAAAAAGTATAAATGCCGTACAAAATCCAAAATAAAGATAATTACTTTCAAATTCATGACTAAAATCCAAATAAAATCCTATAAAATTCAAATCATACTAAAATATTACAAAACCAATGGCTAGTAGCCGCCAATTCACCAATTCTACGACATTTATAAACGATTTTGTTGAACCGTTTTCTCAAAATTGCGGCTACTAATGTTGTTTTGAAGCTCATATCTTTTGTCAACTAAAATATCATTTGAGGCTTATGTTGTTTTTAGAGGAAATTCTTGAAGCTCATATCTTTTGTCAACTAAAATATCATTTGAGGCTTATGTTGTATGTTGTTTTCAGAGGAAATTCTTGAAGCTCATATCTTTTGTTAACTAAAATATCATTTGTTGTTTTCAGAGTAAATTATACGAATGGTTCCTATGGTTTAGGATAATTTATATATTTGATCTCTAATTTATTTTTTTAATTCGAAAGGTTTATATTGTTTGTTTTTGTTACGCGCTTGGTCTCTGTCTAATTTAAAAAAAAAAAAAACTACTTTATCATTGATTTTTTAATTTATTTAAATAAACACACCCCCAACACCACCCTCTCACCTTATATTACTTATCCTACAATTTTTTTCTATTTAAATAATAGTTCTTTTAGGTAAGACAGAGACCAAATGTGTAACAAAAACAAGCAGTAGGGACTCTCCGAGATAAAAAAAAAAAAAAAAAAATAATAAATTAGGGACCAAACACGCAAATTACTTCAAACCATAGGCACCAATCGTGTAATTTACTCTTGTTTTTTACCTAATGATCCACAAAAATTGATAGAAGTATATACCTAAGGTTTCATGTAGTGACTCATATAGTGACACATTAGGTAGATAAACTGTGGAGATCCATTTAAGAGTGTAACATCAAAACCTTGTAGTAAAAAGGTTCAAATTTTTAATCAGAATTTACCAACACAATAAAAGAACAAATTCAGATGTATATCAAACACATTTAAAAGATAATTCCCTTACTGTTTTGTTCATATTAACATTAACCTTCTTAAAATTGAAATTAGAATAGAATAAAATTGATAGATGTTAACGTATGGTTCACCAAGCGAATCAAAAAACATAAATACAACCACTAACCACCATAGACTTTTGAAGGTCATTAATCCCTGTTGAAGATTGATCAACATCATTGTCACACCGCCAAACCAGAACCGCGGAAACGTTTGGAGGCAGAGGACATCATGTACGGTATCACAACAATTGCATCGTATTAATCAAAGTAAAGACAACCATTACATTGAATAAATAAGGTATTTATATTTGTTCGATACATAGTTTGTATGACATCAAAATGTATAACAAAAGTATAAAAGATGCAACTCTAAAAGCTGCGTCTTCTTAAAACCTATGGGTGTACCTGTCTACCGGTTCCCTGAGAATACAAGTGGTTTTGAAAGTGTATCAACATTTAAGTTGGTGAGTTCATAAGAAGGTTTTTGTATTGAAATCTTGACTTTGAATCTTTGAAAATGTTTGTATATTTCTCAAGAAAATCCAATATTTTCTTTAGTAGTGAAAAGTAGTCTTAGACCTTAAAACCAAAATGTATGTTAGTTATTGTATTTTGTATTTGTATATCGTAATAGTGTTTGATAAGAACCCTTGTTTGAATATCTTTGTATGTATGCCTGGATACCACCAGCTTTATTGTATGGTATTGTTTTGTATGAAAACATTTGTATAAAATCCCTGCATACCACCAGTAATGTATAGTATTGTTCTGTTTTAAAACCTTTGTATGAAATCTTAGGATACCACCAGTAATGTATGGTATTTTTCTGTATAAAAACATTTGTATGAAATCCCTGGATACCACCAGTAATGTATAGTAGTTTTATTACTTAAAATAAGGCCAAGGCTTTGTATTCCTTGGAATCCTCCATTTGTATTGTATAGTAGTTCTATTAATTAAAATAAAACTATTTGATGAATTGAAATCCCGTAAACAAATGGTTAGTTTATACTGTTGTGAGTTTGGTACAACCATGCTTGATGTGACCTAGTGAGCTCTACGACGTTCTTCAGGCGTCGGAATTGTATGAAATTTGTCACCCCAAGCCTGCCGACCTAACTGTAGCTAACAGTTCAGGTGTAGGATTGACAGTCCCGTATAGATCTATAAATAAATCTTACGCTCTCCCTCCAGGACACTCTAGTTATATTGTATAGGATATAGTTTCGTACCCTGGTAGATACAATTAAAGTAGTACCTCACAACCTTGTATTAACTAGTTTATGTGTATTGTTTTAGTGTTCTTATGTACTTGAAAACTGTATGTATAACCTTGTAGTGTAAAATAATTATACTTAAATAATTATTTAGTATTGTACTCTTGTATAGCTACCATAGTTTATATGTTCGTTTATGTATAATGTTCTTGAAATAGTAAAACAGTGTAATGCATGCCAAACTATACCTATTATAGTTTGTATATATGTTCTCATTTCGTGTATTGAATTCTATAAAAGTAATGTAATGTACCCAAACTATATCAACTATAGTTTAAATTTTGGTTATCTACTGTACTAAAAAGTTTGCAATTTTGGTTGTATGTTGAAAGCTACCCTTACGCTCAACATGTTACAAAAAGGTTAAAAATATCTATATATTTTTATAAAATGTAGTGATTACTCTGTTTGTATAAATTGAAAAAGTTTTAAATCTGTTTGAAATCGCTTGTATAAAAACACAAAAGTCTTTGTGTTTTACTTGTACCCCCTTAAAACATTAAAAGCAGTGAAAATGTAGGGGTATGAACTCACAGTTGTTTACGTGTACGAGTTGAATAGCGAGACTGGAAAGATGACCCTCGAGTTGACGTACGTGGAATTAACAGTATCCTAATGATAGTCAAACACATAATTGTATTTAAATTTGTGAAACGATTAATTAAAGTGTTGGAAAACACTTGTTGTTGTGTTAGGGATAGCTTTTGCAAGCATCAAGGAAAGTGGTCTATCACTGAAGAGGTAGCTCTAAGCATTAGTTATTCGGACCTCAAGGACATCAGTTTGAGCTCAGGGGATTATCAGTATCGAGGATGCAGGAAGTGTTCATCCCGTACTTCGTAATCATATGGTATTTGGGGTGGGTTAGTGACAAATCGCTAGCAATATTATGGCGATGGTAGTTATCATGCCTTTTGTGCAAGGGAGGAAAGAACGGAAATCCCCGAATTTTCGCGTGTCACAAAGAATTAACCGAAGCTAAGTGGGTGAGAGACAATCATGTTATGGGATCAGAATAGGTTTTGAAACTGGGATAAGTTTCACTCTCTTGTCGAGGAGAAAGACGGCCCAGTAGGCTGTATGAATTGAGGATAGTGTGAACTGGAAGTTTGGAAAACTTGCCAATTGTTAGATCTCATTCTCGGGATGTCTGATAGCAGATTGTAGACTTAGTCGTAGCATTCACCAGTGGTCAGATAGTAAGAGAAGTATGGTAAGACTGCGGTGTGTCCCGTAGCAATCGTATATGAGTATAGCTAGACTACGGGGTGGCCCATAGCATTAGTATAGTTAGATTGTGGTATGGCCCATATCATTAGTATAGTAAGATTGCGGGGTGGCCCGTAGCACCAGTCGGCAGATAGCGTAGAAGTGTGGTGAGACTGCAGGGTGACCCGTAGCATTAGTTGGTTGGTAAGGCAGAAGTGTTGTAAGACTATGGGAGTGGACCGTAGCATTCATTGGTTGGTAGAATAAGTATAGTTAGACTATGGGGTGTCTGTAGCATTCGTCGGCCCCCTATTCGACAGTACCAATGTATCAGATGCTCGATTCGTTGGCAGGGTTTTCAGATAGTTTAATATAGGGCGGGGCAGCCACCTGGATGTGAGTGGGCCAATATCTCCGAGTTAGCATGATAAGAACCAGGAAATTTTAGCTAGTTGAGATCAGAGGAGGAGTGGGTATGCATAGCCCTAGATAGGTGAGACCTGTGGGAGAGGATGCTCCGATGTATAGATGGGGGGGGACCCGTGTGCGAGACCCATGTTCTTTTAGCAACAGGTGGGACCTGGTAGAGACCTCAGGGTAAGGTAGGGGATCGGGGATCGTAGATCTTCTACAGCCAGAGTGGCTGGGTTGGTAGAGCAGTTCAGGAAGTTGTGGTATCTTCATGAGTCGTTGGGAGCGCCTAAGGGAATGTTCTCACGTTTGGTAACCAGTCGGGGACCGATATTTCAAGTAACGGTAGATCGGTTGGGACCTGGGTGGTATCGGTTCATTCGGAAGGCGGATGGGAGTCAGCAGGATTTCAGGCAGGAATGATGATAAGGTGTTTGGTGCAGAACGCAGTAAGCTGATCAAATAATGCTAAGTTTCTCACTGCGGAAATCATGTAGTCTCGGAGGATGGTCGGAATTCACACATTGGGTGGAGTTTTCAGTCTTGGAGCATCATATGATGGGATATTTCGTGAGTGCTGCTATGATATTCGGTGCTGAGAGTGGACAGAATTGTGGTTTCAGTAGGAGATATGTTCTTGATGGAGATCGGAAAGATTGTACTCATAGGAGGTTGCCTTGGAAAG